TTCAAAGATATCACCAAGTAGAATTAATTAAAATAAAATGAAGTGACGTAAACAAAATGAATATTCACTAATCTAACTAGTTACTTAAAATAGCGGATTTAATTAAATAAATAAATAAAATAAAAATCCTACCCATCCTTAAAGAATTACACCAGATATGCATATAGAAAATTTAAAAGTAGGTTTTTTTTTTTGTATTAAGGGAAAGCAAACAGCTACAGATTAGAGAGTCTTGGCTCAGTGATACCTAGGGTATCCCTGAGTAACAAAAAATTACAGCCAGCAGGTGGTTCATGCACGACCTGAACGTCCCAATTGTCAAGCTGGTAAGTATGGGATGCTAACCAATCCGCAACCCTATTGCCTTCTCTATAGGAGTGGGATATGATCGTCTTCCAGTCATGAGAAAGAGCAATTCTAATTCTATTGACCAGGGGGCAAGAGCGTGATGTTCATGGCATCCATTTCTGATGAGGTTAACAGCCACCAAGGAGTCTCCTTCAAAACACACGTTGGTGAAGCCTGCATTCCTTGCTTGCTGAATTCCCTCCAGGAATGTTGAGATATATAGTCTCACATTGGTTGTATGTGCAACTAATGTGGAGTTTATAAGGTCTTGGGCACTCCCACCCTTTGAGCTAGCTTTTGGGGTGGTGTATCCCAAGGTTCTTTACATGGTATCAGAGCCTCGCCGTCTCCCACTTTCTCTTGTGGCGTTTCTTAGCACAGGTAGGCTGGGCCTGTTGCATTGTCCACTCTTCAAGCCCAATGGGCTCTTGTGTGAGGGGGCGTGTTGAGATATATAGTCTCACATTGATTGTATGTGCAACTAATGTGGAGTTTATAAGGTCTTGGACACTCCCGCCCTTTGAGCTAGTTTTTGGGGTGGTGTATCCCAAAGTTCTTTACAAGGAAACCCCTCAGTGGAGTTTCCATGGCCAAGTCTACCGCAGAACCCTAATAGCTAACTGCCCTCTTCATTCCTAATAACCCCACCGAAGCTAGAGCTTGTTCCTCCATTAACGCTGGATCCATCAACGATTACCTTAATCCAGCCATGATCAGGGCGGAGCCAGCCAACCTCATGGATGATTCAGGTACTGTTCTGTAATCCTGAGGTGGAGAGGAGCCTATGTGCACCAATAGTATTTAAAACATAGGTCTTTACAGCCTGCGAGGTTCCTCTTTCGTGAGTGATCTTTCCTTGAAAAATAAAATCATTTCTTGCTCTCCAGATGTGCCAGCACGCTACCCCAAACGTTAAGGGCCAATCAGGACCTGGCTGATGGGAGGAGCGCTTGGTTAGGTTGTTCTTCAGCCAGGTTTGAAGTTGTTGATGGAAGAAGTTGCCAAGGTTGGGTTGGATACCCAAATGTTCCCAAACCTTTAAACTCCAAGGACAGTCGCGAGCCATGTGGATGCAAGTCTCGACGTTAGCTTGGCATCTGGGGAACAGGCTCGAGGTTGATAAGTTTCGCTCCAATCTCCTTTCATTCGTAAGTAGGATATCATTCTTGAGTTGCCAGAGAAAGAATTTTATACGATTGGGCCTCGTCCACCTCCAAACCACATTCCAATCTTGGGCTTCCATGTGTTGCGCTTCAAGGAGAATAAGTTTGTGGGCCGATTTGATAGAGAAGGTTTGATCCTCGGAGCGGTTCCATATTACTTTGTCACCTCCATCCAAAGTGGAAGGAGGCAGTATGCTCGCAACATTTCCACAAGCTTTCGTAGATAACAGATTTGAAATGCGGCTCCAGTCCCAGCAGCCTTCTGCAGTGACCAAGTTACTGACTGCCCAATGTTGATTAGTGATGTTGATTTCTACACGAGTATGGGAGGCTAGATTCCGAATAGTGGGAACCCAATTATCAAACCAGAAGCTTGTGAGATTGTCGCTTCCTAGTTGGATACTAGCACCTGCTGTGATGAGAGGCCAAGCCTTCAAAATGCCTCTCCACAAGGATGATGAGTTGCGGTTCTGAGATAGCTGTGGAATGAGCTCTTCCCCTACTCGATATTTGTTTCTAAGAACTTTGGCCCACAGAGTATCTGGGCGTGTGAGAATACCGTGGCCCAGCTTCATTATAGATGCTTTGTTTAGCTGTCGGATATGTCTAAACCCCAGCCCACCATTAGCCTTGGTTCTGCAAACGTTGTCCCAAGTAGTACCATGAATTTTCCTCCTCTCACATGTCGATCCCCACACAAAGTCACGAATTTTTCTTTCAATCTCGCCACATTTTCCTCATATTCCACTAAACGTCCACAAATTCAAAACCTATTTAGAAACTCTAATTTTTAACATTAACCATTGTCCTTTAATTATACTTGATCAGATGAATCCAGAGTTTTCTGGTAGTTCGAAGAAAATGTTGTTTTAAGTTGTTGCGCGCGTCGTTGGCACGCTTCCCCAAACTAACTTATTTCCATCAAATTTCATCAGAAATTATATTTCCTAGCTCTATAAATCATTTATAACTTATTTTCAAACCTAGAGCGCAAAACTCAATTGGCACGTTTTACGGTGCAATCGTACCGCGGTATTTTTACCCTGTAAAAACACTATTCACTGATTTTTCTGAAACTTGCCTAACCACTCAATTTTTTGTTCAAAATCCATTTCCAGGGTTATTTTTACCATCTGAGACCTTCTTCTCAATTTTTATCATCCTAAGGTTGCGTGTTGGCTAATTACCGTTTTGCCCTTTCTTTGTATTTTGGCCTAATCTTCAGGATTTTCACTAATCTTTCACTTAATTACTCATTTAATATTTTAATACTTAATTTAGAATTGCGAGGTGTTATAATCACCCCTTAGACTTGAAATTGTGAGCTATACTTAACTCCCAATAACTAGAATTAACTTCAGAAATCAGAAATTCATATCGATCCATTTCACCATAATTCCACAATACACAGAATCATCATTAATCTATAATATCCTATGAGGAAAGGCTCTTCGAAGTTCTATACAAACACTAGCTTTGATTATGACTCATTGGAGTGATCCCAGTGCATTGGTGCATCGTTTAAATCATTGTTGTATTTGCCTGTAGATATATGATGTATTTCATGCCATGTGTATACTAACATTTCTACAGGAAGTGAACTCATGGGTGGAGAATTACTCCAAAAATCCGGAGTTTATTGAGATATAATCTCACCTCATTTGAGGATCATATTTCAAATACTCCAGCTGAAGGAGGTGGAACCTCATTGGGCATTAAGAAGCTCGTACAAAGCTAGAGTGCTCATATGCTACAGGAGATCTATTTATGATATTGCTTATGTTTTGAGGATTTTTATGCATAGCCATGCACTCTTGTATGACCTTATATTCATTTCAAAAAAACTTGTAAAGTTTGGTTAAGGCTTGTAAAGTTTGGCATGTATACCGTTTATGTATTTGAACCTTACTTTATGTAATATGGGCATTCAAGTATGATATACATTATGTTTGGGAGATTTCATGAAAGTTTGTGTAAAGTTGATAAATGAATATGTAATGATATAAAGTATTGGCATAGAGCCTCTTATGTAAAAAATTCCATGGATGGATTAGAGATATAAAGCCTTGAAATAGCTTAGATTATGTGTGAATAAAAGGAATGGTCAATTAGGTGTTACTAAGCATGGGAGATATCCCTAACTACTATAGTATAGCCAAGTGTTATCAAATTTTTATCTTGTCAAGTATGGTCAACTTAGATCGTCTATATTTCCTTCGTTTCTAACTCAAACGGTGCATATTATATATCATTTTAAAGTCCCAGAAATATGGTTTATTGTATCCAAATATCATAATTTTCTGGACAGCGAAGCATTCCCATTTTAATGTGGAATCAAAGCTGCCATAAACTGCATTTAACTTGCTGTCAAGAATTTAACAGCCTGTTTGTTGAGAACATCACCACTCACCAATACTGGGAACGCCACATGTATGGGAAACAATGTTCCTTAGGAAAATAAAAGAACCCTTATTCCTACATGTGTGTAATCCTTTAAGGTACAAATTTAATTAGCAACGTAAAACCATAATAAAGTGCAAGTAAACATAGAATAAATGGAGAGTATGGTAATATATAAAGAAAAGAAAAAATTAATTCACGTATTTTCACAAGTTTAATTGTGATAGTATAAGTGTATTTTCCGCTTTAATGTTTAGTTATGTTGCGCTTAATACCATAATGTATGTTAACAAATCGGGTGCTCAAGGTTTGTTACACAAACCTACCTCACTAGAATCGAGCTGTACGAAGGGAAGTTTTTTTTTTTGAAATATTCTATCGGTTCATCGTTTCGCGATTAGTCCAATTCGGGACGGGTCCAGGATTAAGGCTTTAAACCCCATACATTACTCATTCCTAAAATTTCCACTCTTATTTTAGTCGGTGTACCAAAATGACCCTAAAACAAAGTTGGTCTCCATTAAAAATAAAGTTGTATGATTCAATAATAAAATTTATATGATATTTTTTTTAAAAACAAACGTATAAGTTTTTTTGTTTTTTAAATATACTACTTAAGCCATTACCTGTTTAGTATTTGAGTAAGCAACAGTACAAAGTCAAACATATTCTGCGGGAAAACTAATAGATAAAAACAATTTGTTAAGATCTTACATGTTATGACCAACAAATATATTTTAGTTACAGTGTTGCATCTGATTGTCACTTAATATATTTTACTTCGAAAATTAGAAATATCCTTTTGTATTCTAAGAATAATAACCAATCAAAAAGTGAAATGTGACATAAATTAAATCCATGCCATCAAATTACTTTTAATTATGATCCATGTCACTGAGTATTTTTTTTTTTTTTTGGTAAGCCATGTCACTGAGTATTTTACTATCGCATTACACATAAGAATTTCTTTTCATTTGTAGTGCTCATAAAAGTTACTGTATGGATAAGCTACAGGGTCCAATTTTAAAATCATAAAATAAAATAAAAAAGATACAGACTTTTCCAACAACTTAAAGACTTACAACATTGTGAGGATATAAAAAATAATTTATCAAGTTTAATTACATTATAAAAATGTTTAATTATAATATAAACATCCTCCATAACATTTTCATTGAAGAGTAAGCCATTTTCCCTTTATTTTTCTTCCAGAAAGTGTGGGATATGGGTCCCAATAACATCAACTTGGAGGAAAAAATGAAAAAGTTTGGGATAAGGGTCCCAAGTAATAGTAGTCATGATTCATAAGTAGCTGGCAAAAAAGAAAAGTAAAGAACAAGAAACTACTCTTGAAAGATCCAAAGAAGTATCCAATCCAAGTCAAAGCTAAAAGATCATCAAGAACAGCAAGAAAAATTGAGCAAGCTTTTCTTTGATCCTGCCTCATTAACCAGACTTACTCGTTTCACAGACAATTCAGCTTTATAAGAATCAGAGTTTAAGACTTTACGGCTGATATTGCTGTAAATATCGCGGATGACAATCTCAAAAGCTGTTTGCACATTGGTAGAATCGAGTGCAGATGTCTCCATAAAGAACAAGCCTTCTCTTTCTGCAAGACTTTTGCCCTCCTCTGTGCTCACATCTCTAAGATTCTCCAAATCACACTTGTTTCCCACCAACATTCTTGCTATAGTGCTATCATTTTGAGCTGCACGTAATTTATGCAACAATCAAACACTCCATTACAAAATTACACGGAAAGCATAAGAAAAAATAGCTTTTAAGGCATGTCAATGATGATAATGCAAAGGTAAACAATGTAAGTTTTAAAAGTTTATCTCTTCCAAATATTTTTTATTGATCCCACCAGCACGCCCAACTAGCCCTGATAGTAAACACATACTTGCATCCTCCAAAAATACAAGTTTTAAGAAACTCAAAAGATTTTTGTCACTGATGGAATCCAGAAAAATAACACTGAATTTACTGAAAATAATGGAGGTATAGCCTCTTTTTACAAACACTAATACCAAAAAAATAAACCAAAGACCTCAACTCACGCTCAAAGCCAACAACTCTAGGCTTCAAGATATCCCTAGAGATTCTCAAATTTATCACTAAATGAATTTATGCCTACCTCACTACACACACTCTCTTCTTTTATTCACTCCTCTAAGAATATTCTAGAAAGTTTCCTAACAAACTAACTAACTGACCCCCTCAATTTTAGGCCCATCAGTCATCAATTTAGTGTCTCAAAAATAAAAAGCGTCATCAATTTATTCCATCAATCATGCAAAATATCATCAAATTAGTCCCTTAATAAGGGACTCGATATACTTATTTTTCTTGCTCAGACAAAGAAGCACCAAGCACATGGATCTGGCAGGGGTTCTTCTAGTTTAACCAGTGACCTCGAGTTCTGGGTATGCATGTGTTAAGATTTGAAAAGGAGAGCTTTATCATGCAAATATCATCAAATTAGTCCCTAAATAAGGGACTCCATATACTCATTTTTCTTACTTTGACAAATAAGGACCAAGCACATGGATCTAGCAAGAGTTATTCTAGCTTAACCAGTGACCTTCTATTCAAGCCCGAGGTACACAGGTGTGTTAAAACTTGACAAGGAGAGCTTTCTCACCCTTATGGTTCTGGCCGACTAGAATCCAGATTAGTCGATGCCAGTGGACAGCAGGATACCAGATGGTTTATAAAAAAACAAAAAAAGACCAATTTGATGACAATTTGCAATATTGAGACACTAAACTAATGCATATATTTTTTGAGAATTTAAATGAGAACACCTTCATAGGACTAAAATCGGTGTTTACTCTTATGTGACTCTATATATACTAAGGTTAAACAGTTACAGCATTAAAATAATATGCTAAAAGTGATGTTCTAATAAAACTATATATCATATGGTAGGATGAGTTCTGCAACAGTGACACGGTTCATTAAGTCTAGCAGCTGAAAAAATATTTCAACAATAACAAACTTAAAAAAAAAAAATGCTCCGAGAAAAGTTTAAGATAAAACTAACATAAGATCAAGCATACAAGTTCACGTGGTCCAGAGAAAAGAATATGCAAACATACCATTCCATCTTTACAATACAGTCAGGAGAGTCAGGTAACAATAATGACGGTAGCAGCATTTAACCATGAAAAATAGTTCATCTTGGCTTAAAGAAATTAGAGAGTTCTCTAGAAGAGTATGTTTTTATGGCTAGCTTCGAGAATGCCATGCAAATCTCTTATTTACTGCTACAATGATGTCAATTAAGCAACAAGTGTAGGTGATTTAAGGGAGCCATGTAACTTTGTACTAGCACAAACAGGGGTGATGCACTTTCTGTCAAATATAACAGCCTCATATAATATTAAATTTTAAGAGCAATTACCAAAACATACACAAAAATTTCCTCACCAAAGTTACTTTTGAATGATAAGTCATATTGAACCCCAAGATTCAGAGACACAATGAAAAATAACTTGAAATAAATCATATAAATGATATATAATGCTCGATGTAATAATCATAAATTAGGAATTGACAAAATAACTTAATCACATGTCTCATGAAACAAAATTATAATTCAAGATTCATAACTGAGTCACATAAAATGACCGTGTGAGGTCTATGTTTTACAAGAACGAAAATAGAGTAATGAAATAATTAAATATGATACAGGGTGAACAAATGACTATGTGAGGCCTCTCTATTTTAGAAAATAAAAAAGAGCAATAGAATAGCCAAACAGAATGCAAAGAGTGAGTGATGGACATTGTGAATCCCAATAAATGAAAACAAGGAAATAGAATAATCAAATAGGGTGCATTCAGTAACGCTCCTTTAGTTCCTTTTCAGTTAACATTTGCTTATTTAACTTTTTTAATTTCTTTTATGAGAATTGATGAAAGCAAAGCTAAAAAGAAAAGAAATTAATAATCAAATCAATTTTGTGATTTCTATCTGTGATACAAAATCGTACCAATTCCTGATATAAAAAAAAAATTAAAAAAATTGTACCAATTCATATATATATCGCACGATCTAAAATCTTACTGGACTCATCACATGATATGAATCGCTGGCTTCCCAAATTGCGAGATAAAAATCATGAATCTGAAGATTCTAATAACTATTTTCCTCATTTTCAGAAAAAACAACATTCAACGCCATTATTAATCTTCAATGATTTCCATATTTTAGGCCACTAATAGGTAAATTCATATTCATATCCTAGAGGAAACAAAACCAGGTCCATATCCTTTCAATTCCAAATCAATATATCCTACTTCAAATCCAGGTCACCTTAATCAAATTAAGAAACCTCACAACCCATAATCCCACAAGATGGCAAGGATAACTAACAAATTTATATTCTGCATTACTACTACATTGCAAATAAATCATTTATAATTGATACCTCACAACCCTTCCCATTTTCTTCTACAAGATTCTCCACCACCATTGACACCCCCACCTGGTCTCCATGAAGGACTTTGTTTCTTTTCAGATCACAACAACAAACATCCTCATTTAAAATTTACAATCCTTTCATCTTAATACAAGATCAATGCCCAACAATGTTCAAATTTCTAATGCCACTGTTCAGTTGCATAAAAAAGGTAGATAGTATGTCAACTAAGCAAGTATCAATGTCTAAAATGCTTCTAGAAAAAAATAAAAAATAATACAAGCCCACATCAACAAAATCACTTACTCAGAATCAGAACAAAAGAAAGGATAAAAAAGGGGCATGGAACCTAAAACACCATACCCACTAAAAGTATAAAAAAAGAATCCCACATCCACAAAATTCACTTACTCATATCCACAACCAAAGAATCAAAAAAATAATATAAAATGGGTGAACATAGAAGGGCAATTCCACCATAAAACTTGAACAAAAAAAATAAAACCATAAACAGTACCTTCTAAAACCATAAAAACAAACAAAAACAAAAACAGAAAAAGCAGGAGAAAAAAAAAGAGTTAACTTACTATCGAGTTCTTCGAGCCACCTCTTGATGCTATCAAAGGTGCTCCTTCTACTGATATCATAAACTATGAGTGCTCCAACAGCACCTCTATAATAAGCAGAAGTAACAGCCCTGAAACGTTCTTGTCCAGCAGTGTCCCAGATCTGCGCTTTCACTTCCTTACCATCAATTTCAACAACCTGTGTCTGGAATTCAACCCCAATGGTTGCTTTCGATTTGGCCTCAAACTCGTTGCGAGCAAAGCGTGACATCAAGTTCGACTTCCCCACAGCAGAGTCACCAATGAGCACAATCTTGAACAAGTACTCCTCACCCACTTCGTCGTTCTCGTCCATCGTTGTTGCAATTCAAAGCTGTGAAAGAAAAGGAGTGTGCGTATGTGTGTGTTCTGTAGATAAAGAAGAACGTGAAGGGAGTAATGATGTACAATGAGTTGGGCTTGGGAGTAGTTTTGGGTTATTATTTTTTAGATTTTTCGGGCAATGTGCGTGATTAGTGGCGGGATTTTTGTGATATTCGCTGGATTTTAATTGCACTTCGTGGCTTATGTGTCTTAAAAGGCTTTGACATGTTTACACAACTTTATTGACAAAATAAAAACACATTTCATAATCTTTAGGAAGGGAAATGATTGATTTTTTTTTTTCCTTCTCTTTTTTGACATGTGATTTGATTCTTAGTTGTATGTCAGCCGGGATTTTAACCATCTTTAACGTGGTGTTTGGTTGAAGGGAAATTTTTTATGAATAATAGAGAAATGAGATTAGTAGGGAAATGACTGGAAAATGAGTTTAGTAGGAAAATGTAAAAAAAGTTGTTTGGTAATTAAAAATTTTACCAGAGAAATTAGGTAACTTTCGTAAAGTCTATGTTTGGCTTTTCATAAAATATAGATAGAGAAATAATGTGCTATGAAGAAAATACCCTTGTTTTTACATACAACATATGTAAATTGCTTATTGTTGCAAATGATTATTTGTTTTATGTTCTAACATGACAATTTAACATTTTGTGTCTTGTTGAATTCTGCATATTTTACTTGAATTTCATTATTCAAATTATAAATATAATTAGATAATTTCCATTCATAGTTTTCAACAAAAAAACAAGAGAACAAACCATAGGAAATAATCAAAATGAACTAAATAAAATTCAGATGAATGAATTTATATTTGATTAATAAAAAGGGCAACTACCACTACACCCAGTTAAGTGGCGTAAAAGTGAAATACGAAAACAACCAAACAAAAAAGTTTCAACCCTGGTTGCATTCAGAGACAGAAACTTGTTTTAGATTACAATTTAGCGCATACCAATTCTTCCCAGCAGTGTCTTTAACTTGCTTTCTCAGTAACTTGTTTAATTTTCTGGGATCATTCGGAGGAACAAAAAGCCCATCAACCAGCTCTGAATTCGGTTTCCAAAGGGTCCTACTTGATGCCTCGGGTTGAGATTTGGTATGAGATCCATCATTTACAACATTTGACGAAGATGGGAATTGCAACTGTGGTTGCCATGAGAGGCCAACCACTGGCTTGCTCTCTGGCATTCCTGAATCACAACAGATACCAAAGCCCAGAATCCGCCTTGCAAAATGACGTCGCAGAGAGGAGCACCGAAAAGCCCAATGCCAGCGAGATAAACCATTCCCCTGTTTTCATAACCAAGCATGCGGAGCAACCTCATCATCAACAACAACACCAACCAAAGCATGCTCTTCAACCCACTCAATGAAGCTAAGCAAACGTTCAACAGTGCGGCCAGTTTCTATGTACTTCTCTTTGCTGCTGACCACACAATTGAAGATAATATCATAGGGTATATTTGGAACCATTTGTTGTGGGCCCATGTGATTTAGCCGGTTATTATAAAAAAAACCACCTCCTACTTTGGTTTTTAAACAGTGTAGAAGCCTACCTAAATGGCACAAAACTGAAAATGGCATGCATCCTGCTTCCCTGGGCTTTGAGCCTTTTCTCCCTCCCCCAAACGCATGCTTCCCAGAATCCCAACATCATTTGCATGGGGTAATTTAAAAAACCCCCCAACCAAACACCACCTTAAGGGGGTTGTTTGGTAGGTGGTTTTTTTTTTTTTTAAATGGTAGGAAAGTGATAAATGAGATTTATAAATGACCATGTTTGATATAGAGTAGGGAAAATTTGTCTAGGAATAAAAACTTGATGGAAAAAATTTTAGTGTAAAAATGAAGAAAAATGCTCATTTGAAAAAACCACCTTGATGGTAGTATTTTGATTTTTCCAGCAAACTCAAACTTGTAACAATTTTACACCAAATTTTTTTCTGTAATATTTCGGCCTACCAAACAATTTTTTTTTAACTTTCCAAGAAAAATCATTTTCCCACCATTTTCCCAATAATTGTATTTACCTGGTACACATATTTTTCTGCTCCACCAAAGGGCCCATAAGGCTTTTGTTTTAGGGGGGAAGGAAGAGGATTTAAGAGGGAGATAGGGAAAGAAAGGAAAGACAAATGAAGGGTATTTTTTTCCTTTATTTGAGAGTTAAAAGTATGATAAAAAAATGAAAAGTTAATGAGAGATTTCAAAATTTTATTTTTTAAAAAAACTAATATAATTATTATATTTTATATATGAAGCTAAATTTAAAATTTATAAAAATTTATTTTTATAGTTTTCCCATTAAAAAATAATTCACTCTCTAAAAATTTATTTTTTCTCTCTCTCTGAAATAATTTTGGAGAGAGAGAGAGGGGGGTTTTGAATTTAATGTTAAAGGCAGATAATTAATTTTCAATATTTTTCCCTTCAAACCTTCCTAGGAGAACTTTGATTTTAAGGATGAGAAGAGTTTATGACGGTTTTACAAAAAAAATTAATTTCCTTCCCCCATTTTTTTAAACTAAAAAACAAAGGTAAAACATAAGTAAAATCTTCCCCTTTTGTTTAAAAAAAAATCTTCCCCTTCTTCCATTTTCCTCCTAAGAGTGATTCTCAAACAAGCCCTAAGAGAACACTTTTGATTTTATAGATTTGTTGTTGTTGAATGATTTCTTTCTCTTTCAAAAATAATTAAAATAAGGTATTTTTATAATAAAGTTACAAAAATATGAATATAATCATTTTCAGGGAAAAATTGAAAAACTCTCCATGGCTTGCTCCAAAATCATTTAATTTCCTATATTTTATTATTTATCACTTATATGACTTTTTCGTTTAAGTTCACTTTTAATATCATTAAATATTATATTTATTTGTCAACTTTACCCCAATAAACAAGTAAGAAAAATACGAAGAGATAATTAATTAAAAAGAGAAGTACAAGAGAATAAGGAATACAATATTAAACCCTAGGGTTATTATTAGAACTTTTCCTTGCAATAATTAAAATAAAAGAAAAAACTTGAAGTGAAAATCCCTCCATAGTTTAATAACTTATCAATTTCCCCCTTTATTTTTATTTTTTTAATCATTTACCTCCCTTATTTTTTTTACTGTATGTATGGGCAAAATGGATAAATTAATCTAATATGTAACGACATTAAGGATAGATTTGAATGAAAAAAATCACATAATTTTATTTACAAAAAAAAGTCACATTGGATGCATACATGAGGTACTTCAGATGAAAAAGAAGGTGAAGAAGAAGATACAAAGAGTTGCAGGCAACGTTGTAAACCACCACCTCCTGTCCAAAGAAGATCTGACCCAGATAATGGTCCATGGGTAGGTCTTAACACACAGAAAAAACCTGAGCCTCTTTGGATCTATGAAAGAGGTTTAGAAATCCTGAGAGAAGAAGGACTACTTCCACCTAAACCACCAAATGACCCTGACCTTATAACCTGGTCTCCAAAATGCCAGCCTGAACCCATACCTTGGATGATGTTTTTGAGGGGATGTGTTTAGGAAGGGACAAGGAAGATTGTAGCATAATAGGCTGAGAGTTTTCAGTGTTTGTATTATTCATGATTTGAGAAGTTTCTCTCCTACTCACCTCATATAATATCATTACTATCTTTACCCTCTCTCTGGAAGAAACTCGAAGAGTTTCCTTTAAGCTGCCGCCATCGGGCAGGGAGCCTGTCATCGGAGATGACACAGTATAAGGCTCTGATACCAAGTGTTCGGGAGCTTCACAATCCTTAAAGAACCATGAATTAGTCATCCTTTTATCCGAGCATTTCACGGCACCCCTTAGCCTCTTAGCTCTTTCATTGGAGACTATCATCCATGAAGGGTTGTAGTTTTTTGTTGGTTCTGGTTTTTGTTGGGATCAGATGTTTTGTTCAATGATTCTCTCTAGATCTTGGATCTCTGCTTTCAGTCTCCTTATCTCTCTATCTCTCATATTGGCTTTTGGAGTAAAGCCTAGCTTTTTGATCTCTTCTTCAAGCTAGGCTATCTACTGCATGTTCTTCTCATAATGATTTCTCATCTTCTTTGAGAGATGTTGCAGAAGGTTCTCAACTGTATCCATCTGATTTCAAATCTTTTCAACCTTAGTATCAAGTCTTTTCAGAATAGTATTCTGGGCTTGAGCGTTCTCAGTCTGCCAATTGAGAACTTCTTCAGCTTGGCTTTATGGCTTTAACTTTCCATCCGGTTGGACTTCTCCTTGGTTAATTATAGGCTTGGTGGTGATTTTTGTGGTTGGGTCAGTATGTCTTTCTAAAGGAGGAAAATCATGTTGTGAAAACATCATACAAGGTATGGGTTCAGGCTGGCATTTTGGAGACCAGGTTATAAGGTTAGGGTCATTTGGTGGTTCAGGTGGAAGTAGTCATTCTTCTCTCAGGATTTCTAAACCTCTTGCTTTCAAGATTCAAAGAACTTATGAGATTCTCATGACTCCTCAAGTTGCAGATTACTTTTTATGGACCTTGGTGGAGAAAGGAACTGCACAAGATCATTCTATCCAAGGAACAAGAAGGAAAAACACAAGAAGAGATTTCAAAACTCACTGCCATCTTCATCATTCATAGACCATACTGGCAAAGGCCCGATGGAATTATTTGGTCTCAGAATATTGCATACCTATAGGGATATTTTAATGATTATCCATTAGACCCCTGTTCCAAGACAACCCTGTTAAAACATGTCCAAGAACTCAAGAACCAACAGAAAACTACAACCCCTTTTTGCCACCTCCTATTCCAAATTATTATTCTCCTTTCCTAAAACCATCAGAATTTCGGACCAACCCTCATCCTCCAAAACCTTGGACTTTTCCAACTAGCCAGCCTTATGACCAAAAGCCTAGAAGAGAAAGTAGAGAAAGAGGAAAACAACCTTCTACTTCTAGAAAACATTCATCTAGAACTAGAATGGAGACAACTCATTCTTTATCCTCAGACT